TGTACTCATTTTTTTTTCATGGTCCCTAATAGTTTTTTTCATGTTGTTGTAACTATATATCACTTTACAAACTTCTTGTTCAGAATAGAGAATTGAGAAGAGGCAAATCATAACCATAGGCTCGAAGTTTTATGACGTGAACTCACTTGGACTCTTGTTTCTAGACCATTCCTAGCCCCTAGAATCACCTCTAGTTACCCCCCCCCCCAATATTGCTCTTTCCTTCTCCAAAGGAAACTGTCTTGATTCCTAACACCGCTGTGGTCAAACTGTATTATTCTGTTCCTAGCTCCTTCTGTCACTAGGGTATGTGTGTGACCCATCTATGTAACAGGTCCTCCATCCCATGATACACAGTATTCTGCTACATGGATACATGATACATTTACCCATGTAGCTGTTGATAGATGCTTGGATGATTCCCACTGGAGGCAATTCAGTGCCTCAGCAAATATTCTTTTTGATGTTTAATTCCTATGTGTACTTTTTCTGTTCGGGCAATCATACATCTATGTTCATCTTCGGTAAGTAATGCCAAACAGCTGTCTGAAGTGCATTTCCACCAGCTGTATCTGACTTCCCAGCGCTCCCCTGCACTTGGCTCTCAAGGTCTGCACTGGGTGCCGGGTAACAAACCATCCCACAGGGCGGCAGCATGTAACAGTAACCGTTGATTTTCCACAGTGTTGCTAGTTTTCTGGCTTCCTCCCTGCTATTTTTCCACTTGTAGCCCTCTTTAGTCTCTGAGGGTACTTGCACACACACACACACACACACACACACACACACACACACACACACGGCACATGTTCACATAGATACACACACATACACATCAATAAAAATAAATCATTAAAAAAAGAACTTCTTTTACTTGCTAAATGGGTAGATCTACCAAGTATGATCCTAAATCTTCCACAGACCTCACCGAAGAGTCTCATGGCCACGCTGTTTGTTTGATCTTTGTCCAGAGGCTGTTTGTTACTTGAGACTCTATTGCCAGCTGGAAACTGTCCTCGATAGTCTACCCCCGCAATGAGCAGATCTTTCATGTTGGTGCTGGCTGTCTCACTGGACTTTATTATATGTAACTGGAGAGGTTAATGAATCATCGGTTTCTATATTCTGCTGGGAACCTCTCTAGTCATGTTTATGTGCTCGTGGTTACACTGTGTATTAGTCACAGTCACACAGACAACAGTGTTGCGCAGCTTCCCATAGCTCACTAACCCAGTTCGTCTTCTCAACCTGTCTTAGTAATTCACCTCTTCTTCATCTCCTCATCACCCTGGACCCAGTGTCAATGCTATGTTTTAAGTTATATACGGCTTAAATATACCTCCAGGTATATTGGGTTTTGTTAATTCTGAATAACAAGCCACCTTAAAAAGAAAAAACAGTGGCTCGAAACAATAGCAATATATTGTCCTGATTCACGTGATCAGCTGCGTGACCTGGGCAGTTGTACTTCTCTGTGTGTGGCTGGCTGGAGCCATCCTTTCCCTGCATTTTAAGGCCACATTTGCTATAAGTCAAGTGCCCATATACACATGGCTCAGTTTCTGGGTTTCTACTGTTTTGGCTCTTCTTGGGTCAAAATCTCACATGCTTATTACCCCAACTTTCGAATAAGCGATCCCGACACACGTGCTGCAGTTGAGTCCTGACGCTTGCTTCTCTTCCAAGTTGTCTTTTGCTCTTCTGTACACATTTTCTAATTGTTCAACAGTTTTTGGATTTTGATTGAGATTTCACTGAGTAATAGAGTAATTTGGGAGAGCTGACATCTATAAGATCCTTGTTCTTATTTATATCTCTTAACATTTCTCTTGATACAGTTTTTAGTGGCCCCACATTGGGTGCCAGAGGTAACATGAATCTTAAAAGGTTTTGTTAATAAAAAAAACCCAGAGCCAGATATTGGGGTAAAAGCTGAAAGATCAGAGAGGCAGAACAGCCAGCCACTAGTTCTTACCTCTACAAAATCCTCTGCTGAAAGAGAGCAAGCTCCCCTCTCCACTCTGCCTTATCACTTCCTCTCTCCACCTAGCTTTATCACTTCCTGTCTGTCTGTACAGACCTCCAGACCTCTATGGTTAACTAGTGGCTAGCTCCTCCTTCTGATTTTCAGGCAAGCTTTATTTGTTAGAGCACAAATATAATATCACCACGCACATCTATAAGGTACTTGTTCTTATTTATATATCTTAACATTTCTCCTAATATATTTTTTAGCATTCTGTGTGGAATGTTTGTTCTTCGTATTTTAAATGGATTTGAAATGTTATTTATAAATGATACGTTGTTGTTTAAAAAATGTTTGTGAGGGGCTGGCGAGATGGCCTAGTGGCTAAGTACCTGCTTCTCTGCAGGACCCGGGTTCAGTTCCCAGCACCCACGAGGCAGCTCACAACTGTCTGTAACTCCAGTTCCAGGGGATGTGGTACCCTCACACGGACATATATGCAGGCAAAACATCAATGCACATAAAATAAAGATAAATCACTAAAGACTTTTAAATATTTGTGAGCATATGGAAATAAAATTGATTTTGCCTGTTGACCTTGTAAGAAGCAGCCTTTAACCTGTCAAGTTATCTGTCGATTCTTTAGTATATATGACAAAAATGACAATTTTATTTCTTTCCTTAACATTATTACACATTTTTTTTTCTGTTAGTGATTTATCAAACTTCAAAGAGCACTCAGAACAATGTCAAATAAAGATGCTAATTGTAATCAGAGGAAAAGGTCCACTTCGCCGTTTAGTTCAGTGTTTGACATACAATTCTTAAATGCACTCTTGTTTGGATTTGGAAATATCCCTACTGATGCTTTACAAAAGTGTGTGTGTGTGTGTGTGTGTGTGTGTGTGTGTGTGTGTGTGTGATGAATAAGTACCAGAAGCTTATAAAATACACTTTTTGTGAAATTACTATATAACTTTTCCTCTTTGTTTAGTTTATGGTGATAAGTATATTGCTTTTACGATGTCAAGTTATATTTGACATATTGGAGTACATGTCATAATGTAGCACATCTGACATTATGTCACATTTACATTTTAAGAAGAAATCTGGAGCTGGGGATGTAGCTCATCCGCCTGTAGAATCCGTGTCTGGCATGCCAATTGGTGTCTGGCACCAACTCTGAACTCAGCCCTTTGTGCCACATACAGCCCAAGTAGTCCCACAGCCATATAATTTCAACACTAAGGCACTTCGGGTGGCGGGAAGATCAAAAGTTCAAAGGTCATCCTCAGCTAAAGCATGTTAGAGGCCAGCCTATGATATAGAACCCTGGGAAGTGGAGGAGGAGAAGAAGAAACAATGTGATTTGTTGGTTTGGGGTGATTTCTACATCTGTTTATGGCAGCAAACCTTCAGTATTCCTTCTGTGTGGAAGTTCTTGTGGGAACTTAGTGCCAAAGTTTTATTTTGGAATCGTCACCCTTTTCTCTCTTCTCTGAAAGAGCTCATGTAAATTTAGTGTGACTTATTCCTTAGATCTTCAGCTGATGCAGAAATGAGTCCTAAGAACGAGATGCCGCGATAACATCCACGCAGTCCATGTTGTGCGTCCTCAGCAGGCTCACAGCACGAAGTTATTGGGAACTGAAAGATGGAAATCCATCTTCCATATTATGCTACTGGGAGAAAAGTAAAATGGTAGTCGAAAGATGTTTAATATGCCCGGTGGTGGTGACATACGCCTTTAATCCCAGCACTCGGGAGGCAGAGGCAGGCAGATCTCTGTGAGTTCAAGGCCAGCCTGGTCTACAGAGCAAGATCCAGGATAGGCACCAAAACTACACAGAGAAACCCTGTCTTGAAAAACAAAAAGAAAAAAAAAAAAGACGTTTAATATACAGAGTGCGCTTGTATTTTATACTAAGGGGTGGAAACTGAATGTTACTTTGTTACTTCAGTAAATTCGTTACTATTGACTGCATTTGCAAAAGTGGCCGCAGGGTGCTTGGAGGTCCAAGTTCATTCTTGTCTTCCATCTTGCTGAGGCAGGGTCTCTCTGGTTCTGCCACTGTACTGCACTTACTAGGCTGGATTACACTTGAGTTTTCGGCTCATTTTCCTGTTTCCACTTTTCAAATAAATGTTGGAGTGCGGGGGTCACTGATGTGGGCACCACACCTGGCTTTTTACTTTGGTTCAGAGCCTGGAACCCAGGTCATTGGGCTTGTGCCAAAAGCCCTTTCTTCCAGAGTCATCTCCTTGACCCTGTACCTGGATTCTTAACCCTCAGAAATCTTGAGATTTAAAAAAATGTCTGATGTTGATTTTTGTTTTTTTTGTTTTTTTTTTTTTTT